CCCAAATGAGCTTCTACTGGGTGCTTAGCATTATTATATTTTATATGAGAGGCAGTGTGGTCCAGTGGCCAGGAACAGGACTAGGATTTGGAAGACCTGGGTCCGTTTCCAGCTCTGTCACCACCCTGTTGTTTGATTTTGGGCAAGATAACTCATAAGAAGGATGTGGATAAATTGGAGAGAGTCCAGCGAAGGGCAACAAAAATGATTAGGGGTCTAGAACACATGACTTATGAGGAGAGGCTGAGGGAGCTGGGATTGTTTAGCCTGCAGAAGAGAAGAATGAGGGGGGATTTGATAGCTGCTTTCAACTACCTGAAAGGGGGTTCCAAAGAGAATGGCTCTAGACTGTTCTCAATGGTATCAGATGACAGAACGAGGAGTAATGGTCTCAAGTTGCAGTGGGGAAGGTTTAGATTGGATATTAGGAAAAACTTTTTCACTAGGAGGGTGGTGAAACACTGGAATGCGTTACCTAGGGAGGTGATAGAATCTCCTTCCTTAGAGGTTTTTAAGGTCAGGCTTGACAAAGCCCTGGCTGGGATGATTTAACTGGGAATTGGTCCTGCTTCGAGCAGGGGGGGTTGGACTAGATGACCTTCTGGGGTCCCTTCCAACCCTGATATTCTATGATTCATCTGTCTGTACCTCTTTCCCCTCCCACCCGTAGTCGTCTCGTCTATTTAGATTGTAAACTCTTTGGGGAAGGGGCAGTGTCATGCTGTGTGTCTGTACAGTTCCTAGCACAATGGGACCCCATCTCACTTGGTGCCTCTAGATGCTACCACAATATAAAACATTTTAGCCCTAGGGGAAAATAGTGATCTGCACTGTATAGAATAGGGAGGAAGCCAGTGTCCCTGTCCTGATGCTGGAAGGAACAGAGCAAATATGATAGTGATCTTTCCCAGAAATTTAAAAGGAGATTGATTCTATAATGGCGATAAGATACTGTCTTCATACCACAGCAGGTTTTTAAATGTGTGCTTGTCTGTAAATGAAGTGTAACGTCAGACTAATGAATTCACCAACTATGTCAGGAGAGCTGGTGAGCCCCTAGGACTGAGATTGTGTTTCAGTGCTGATTTAAGAATATGTTCTAGCAAGGGCATGTGTTATAAAAGGGAGGGAATATACAAGGCTGGTAGAGAGATAAGAACTGTAGTTTTGTGGCAATGCCTTTGAAAAACTAGACTGTATTACAGGAAGAAATTGGAGTGAACAAACTAGTGCCTAGCAGGTCAAAGTGGTCTCAACAGGGAAGGTGTCAGTAATCTCCAGTATTGTCTGATTTTTTCAGTTTAGTATCCAGCACATAATTGTGTGAGAGGAGCTAGGTTAAGGTGCTCAGATACTGCCGTGGTGAATGCAGCATAAAATCCTAGTTGAAGAGAGTGGGAGCCACACCTTGGATCTTGTAAACATTTTCATGGAATGAAAGCGTCCTCTCACCAGGCAACCGAAGTGCGGTTAACTGTGATTTTGAACCTCTTCCCCTCCCTGGAAAGCAAAGTGAGGGCGAAGACTGGGGAGAAAACTCCCTGACTCAAGACCTGCCGGTTAGCCTGCCTGTGTAATAGGGGAGGGGAAGGAGAGTCCTGTGTTCAAATGATCCTGGGTACGTCGCTGCCTCAGGGAACAGTCCACACTCATAGATGCTAGTGTGTGGTATGTTTGGCAGGGACAACTTGCCTGATAAGCTTGGAGCGGGCGGTGTCTGTGATTCCAGCTGCTGGAGGGTCCTGGCCACATGGTGTAGAGTTTGTAAGGCCATTTTCTTCTTCAAGGGTGAGGGAAGGCAGGGAATAGCTTAATCCTCACCAGTGTGTGCACCTCCCCAACTTCGATCTGTTTGAAAACTTCTGCTCCTCAGTCTGTTCCTCCCCCCAATTCTGAATGATCTTTACTCTTTTTGTCTTCATGATTGCAGGCTTCCCAGCCAATTCTCAGCACTGGCGACCTCTCATCCTCTTTAGGAGGCAGCTGCAAGGGGTGGTGCTGGGAGATGAGTGCATGTTAGTTACAGATGAGACAGCCAGCAGGGGGCCACTGCGGAGCTATAGGGCACTACCGCGCTCAGAGTATAGCAGCATTCCAGCTAGCTGCCTGCCAGCGACAGTGTATGCCCACACACATGCATACCGCTCTCACGCCCAAACCCAAGCAGGCTCGCCTTCCCTCACAAACACCCCTGCTGTCACGCACACCCACTTACACAGATACTCTCCCCCTCCTTCCCTGCCAGGACAAAACCTAGCAGCCAACGTCCAATAGGGAAGTTGCAGCTAATTCCTAGAGGGAAAGCAGAGCCAGGGAGCAGAGTGGCTTGAGCTGCTGGTCCTTTTCCTGTGGGGAAGGAGCTTCAGAGAGTGAGGAGCATACCTGCCAAGAGCTCCAGGACACCAGGGCTGCCTGAGATGGATGTTCAGAACTCAGCACTTTATATACCCTTCTACTTTGTCTGCAGAGTCCCTGTCACCAACATGTTTTCCATGGGAATATTACTGAAACAAGGAAGCTGAGTAGCAGTAAGGCCACTAGAGGGCACTAAAACAACTGTGAGATATTTAACCCTTAAGGTTCTGTCTCCCTCACTGACATTCTGCTCTAAAAAGAAAGGGGGGAAAATTTGTCTTTTATTTGTTGTTTTTTTCCTTACTGACTGATTGTGGGATCAAGGATGTAGTGTGAATTCTAGAGGGTAGGGAGTGTCAGGAAAATGTCAGGCAAGAGGCTGTAGGTTATTCAGGTGGCTGTAGAGTTAGTTAATAAGATGAAATTGGTGGATCACACACACAACCTTTAGGATCTTCAGTTAATACAGACGAATGTAATTGAAATGATAGAAAAATCAATGTACTTAAGCATAAGAATAAGATAAGTACAGTAAAGTGGTTCCTTGCATTGGTCATACTTACAGTCTTACACTGGGCATACTTAAACCTTATGGGAACCATCAGAAACAAAAATGAAAGAAAAAAATAAGTAGCGATTCCCCCAAGAGGATGGAGTGGGGCCAGACTTCCTATGCGATTGTCCCGTGGCATCATCCCAGTGTCCCAGCTCAGGATGGGTTTGACAACCTCTTATACACCTTTCCCTATTCCACCCACATACATCCAGGGCCATATTGAATCAAGTCAAGTCTCATCCCTTTATTCATATTTGGTATTCTGGGAGACGAATTTTAGGGTTCTGGTTGTCCATAATTACATTTCCAACAATTTACCCAACCATTTGCATCTGTCCGTTTTGCAATAATTTAGGTACATCAATACAGTTAGCTCTTACTACAAAAATCCCCTAAGATGCTACCTCTTTGTGTTTTATTTATTTATTATCAAATGCATTACTAAACTATCACAAGAAACATTGCTAAATTTTATAACCTTAGGTCAAGCACATATAATTCCATAACCTTCCGTCAAGCACAATAATACTCATGCTATCTTATACCAACTGCCAACTTCCACTAGGCCTCACTCCAGTTTAATGCTTAAGACCTATAGCCAAGCCTATTGTTAATGCATATATTTTAGTTCATGTACTTGTTTGTTACAGTTTGATAACTTCTATATTATTTTACCCAAAACTATAGACCCTCCAATATCAGGTCAGGGTCAGTGGTCAACAAAGTTAGTAGGTTGAACAGTCTTTCTGGTTAACAGAGCCATATAAGAAGAGTTTTTACTTTTCATAAATGCAGACATTGGCCACTTCAGTTCCTGTTATTTTACCGAACGAGCCTGCAACACAACAACGTCAATTGAAATCTGGAACAGACTCTATAGCAAGCATCACGGTATCTGTAGGGAATGTTTCTAGCGGAGAGAAAAAGTGCCTGAGAGTCAGGACCCCTGGGTTCTCTGCCTGGCTTAGCCAGTGAGCTGTTGTATGATAGTGATCAAGTCCTTTAGCCTCCCTATCCCTCAGTTTGTCTGTCTGTACAATGTTTAAACATTTAGCACATTTTTAGTGCTAAAGAAAAAATGAAGTTGGAATAATACCTACCGCACACTTGGGCTGAGATTATTTATTGTTTGTAAAATCACTTTTGAAACTCAGATATAATGGAAATGTAAAATATTATCATGTTAAACACCTTTTTATGCAGGCCACATTTCTGGACTTCAGCTGAGCAGGATGCAATGAGAGCCAGGGTGAGCGGAGGTTTTGCTCATTTTAGGGTTATAAAGCTTTCTGCAGTCCAGGTGAAGATCATGTCTTTGAAACCACAAGTATAATATCAGTGTTGCCCTCTCACTTTGAAGGCATATTAATCCATTATTTTAGGATTTGACTCGCAGGTTAAACTGCTCTAAATCTAATTCACCTTCAAGAAAAGTGTAAAATGACATGTCTCTACTTGCTTGGGACAGACTGATGCAACTCACTAAGGACTCCAGCACTGGAGTCCTGTGGACATCACAGACTTGTACTAATAAATTAGGCTGGCACTATGTGTCCTGCTGTAGTTTAAGGCTTCATTATAAACTCCTGCTGTCAGGGGATTTAACATGCAACCATAAAACTTCATTTCTGGAGTTAAACTTAATAATGAAGGTGTCATCCAGGAGCAAGTTCTGCTCAGTTGAAACAGTGGTTCTCAAATTTTTGTACAGGTTACCCCTTTCACACAGCACGCCTCTGAATGTGACTCCCTGTTAAATATTTTTTTAAAAGTGTTTTAATTTATAACACTATTATAAATGCTGGAGGTGAAATGGGGTTTGGAGTGGAGGCTGAGAGCTCGCGACCCCCCATGTAATAACCTTGCGACCCCCTGAGGGGTCACAACCCCCAGTTTGAGAACCCCTTAGTTAAGAGGTTGGGAGAAAGCAGCCTCTTCTTTGGCTGGTTTTCATTGCTGGAATTGTGACATTAATGCTCTGTAAGTGTACCATGTTCCATGTGTATATCTGCTGTGTTTTGCCTCCTTGTGCAGTTTGTAGGGACTCGGACCAGTTACACAGTTTGCTTACCGTGTTTGGATTTTGCAGGGTGACTATGACCACAGTAAAACCAAAGTGCTTCACTTCAGCATGAATCCAGCAAGCCTGGCCAAGCAGCAGCGAAAGGAGGAACAGCACCAGCTCCAGGAAGAGTGTGAGAGGCTGAGAGAGCTGGTCAGGGTCCTGGAAGGAGGAGGCTCCATCCCTGGGAATCTGGAGATGGTTGGAAGTTTGCAGTCATCCCAAGAAATTGCAGGTACTTTGCTGGCCTCTAGCCATGTGTCTATCTTATAGCTCTTATATACAGTAAATGAAGTAACCTTGGCTGGGCAGTATTGATAGAGGGCAGAAAGGAAATATATCCCTCCTTTCATGGCTGGACTTAGCTCTGGAGGTCTCGTGGATAGCAGAAAATAACTCAGCTGTGGAGAAATAAGTGGCTGAAATCTTTTCTGACCTGGTTTAAAATAAACAAATATTGTTTATCAGTATATATGTGCCCCATTAATCACAGCGAAATTGACTACTGCATGAAAATAAAGTACATCTACACTTCACAGAATCTGAGACTCTCCTGAGGTACAGAGTCTTTCTTCTATTCAAATACAGGACTGAGACCTTACAATACAGTAGCTGTGAGGTTCAGCACCCTCCCGTACACAGTCAAAAACACTGTAAATCAAGGTAACAATATTAGCAAAGTCTGACTTGTCACCTAAAGCACTGAGAAGTGACCAGGCAGAGTTGATTCACACTGGAGAACCCAAGAGATCTAACTGTTGAATCTCTGACCCACATGTACTTGCCCTCAAAACTCCCTTGCTATAGCTGAAGAGAAAAATAAACCAATCTACACAATGGAAGGAAGGGCTGTGTGGAGCTAATGTGTTGTGATGTTGGCAGTGCACGTAAGGCTAGTGCCTGCAGGGAATGTTGCTCTTTAAGGTGTGTGGCCCAGAAGACGGTGCTTTTCTCTGAGGCTGCATATGTAGGAAATTTGTGACCCATGAGCCTTCTCAGCCTTGGTGTAAAGAAATCCCCTGTGGAAGTGACTCTCATTGTTATGGCACGGAAGTATTCTGAACGTAGCCTGCTAGTTTTTCCATTAGCTCGAATGATAGTATTTCATTATTGGGTTTATCCCAACATCTCGGTGGATTATGGCACTAAATAAATACAAATAATTACACAGAAAATCTAGGTGGCATGTCTGAGTGAGGTATGGCATTAATTGCTTCTCTGTGGGGAGAGAGGGTTAAGAGGTCACTGAGGTTACAGGTACAGACTCAGTCCATCCACACTGTTTATCTATTTGTGGTAGCACCAACTAGGTCATGGTGCTTTCTGAACATTTAAGGAAGACGGTTCCCACTCTAAGGAGTTTCCAGTGAAAGGGTCCCAGAGAGAGGGAATTCTCAGGGATGGTGTTCGCAGTGCAATTCAAATCTGAATTTCACTGTGGCTGTTTAGTGCCGGTCTCCCATTATGCTTCTGCACAGTCCAGTGTGTCTAATGCTGCAGATATATATGTGGGTGTTACTGCCCCCCAAACCCAGAGGGTGCTGTTACCATCAGTGGCAGAGAGGATGAAGAGGTGAGGTCATATATTTGGCTCTGCCACTGCTGAGTGAATCTCTGGGGTATAATATAGAGTAATTAGACCATTTCCTCTGAGGGGAGGGAGGTGTATTTCTCATGTATGCCCCCTTTGATTTGCTGTTCATTTTTATTCCGCATCCTGTCCCTCAGTTTGCTTGTAGCTGTTCGACAGGCGTCTCTGTGCCAGAATGCTACCAAGTTTGTCTCTAGCTCACAGGGGATACATTTTTAAGTTGTTTTCTATTCTTTCTTTGATTCTGACAGTAAAACAAACAGCTCTCTGGGTTTCAGTTTATTTTCAGCTTGTCATGTCTAGTGTGTTTGTGTCCCTTCTCTTCCGAGCCCCCTGCTATGTCATTCTGACTTTTGTTTGCTGACTTGTATAGAAGAGAGACCATCAGTCTAGCTGGGGTCGGGTATGCTTTTGGCTGCAGTCTAGCGGTTGTTTATCACAGTCACAGGAGGGACCTTTGGAGCCTCCAGGTGCATCTCAGTGCATATGGAAGTATTCACGTAAACAAAATAGAAAAAATAGCTAAGAGGAATGCACCGAGGGGGACCCCTGGATGGACGGTGTGATCAGAGGAAACAGATGTGTTATTGGTTTGTATAAAGGAGAAAAAGAAGAGCCCCCTTTTCTCATGTTTCATGACCACGTGTGAATCATTCTCATGTAGACACACTGCTGACAACAATGCAGTAATTAGTTTAACACCTTTATTTTGCTGCAGAACCATGCTGGTTTTCATTGGCATAGTCTTGTAGCCATTGAAAAGAATGGCAATATTGGGATGTGCCAGGTATGTTGGACTATTCAGGTGGAGCGCTATTTGAAGGCATGCATGATACTGTTAGATCACTTAGCACTGAAAGGGTTAGTTACGCCTGTTACTCACAGTCCTAGGGATGCTTAGAAAACATAGATGAATATGTCACCAAAAAACCAAGCCCAGGTTTTCCCAAGGTGGGGAATGAGAGATTCCCCTCTTTTTCTTTTCATGGGGATGAAATCATAAGAACATTGCCTACAAGAAATGGTGGTGGAGCAGTCCTGCAATGTGCCTTCCAGTGTAGCTTGTATACAAGATGCAACTGAACGGCTTGCTGGGGAAACTCTCTTTGTTCACATTGACTGTCATTAGTGTTACTGGAGCTTATGGTGAACAGTAAGGGGCAGATTTTCACTGAAGCCACAGGGAGCTGACGTTTCCATGCAAAATGTCATGAACTGGAATGATATTTGCATCACTTTTTGGGACAGTTGTTGTATCTACCTGTGCAAGGAGATGGGCAAGTTCAGCACTCTAAACTTCGGAGGTGGGCAAACCCTCCAGGTCAGGGCTGAACTGTATTGGTGGAGTTGGATAGGTCAAAACCTAGGACTGATTCCTCCTACAGGAAAAAAGTGGCTGTGTAGGTCTGGGTCAAAAAGACAATGAAGGTCCATGTATAACTTTGCATTCTAGTGCTTGGCAGGTACGTAAATATAAAGTTTGATTGTCACATTCTGCTAACCCTTGTCCTTTAACAGTACCCATATACACTGAATGGGTCACTGTCAGAGATGAGAAATATGGGTGGCCTTTAGCCAGTTGTCTTTGCTATGTTCAGCAAGCTTGTCTGAGCTGCAATTATGCTTAAGGTTTGAAGGATTATAATTACAGCAACCAAAAAAGACATTAAGGACAATGATGTTGATGGTTTTGATAATAATGTGTTGGCTATTATTAAATTTTCTCATTGGGCTGGAATGTAGCACGTTTTCTCTGACCACGGTTCCAATTCCTGGAGAGGTAATAAGGAAATTATTATGGTGGACGCTAAAGCTCATTAAATGTGACTCTATTAAAAATCAAGGTTATATTGGACTTTAAATCTCTTTGAGCATAACCACTGGAGGCTGCAGCACAAGTTGGCAACTTGCCATGGAGTTCAGTGGTCCTTTTCTCTCATTTATGCCGTAACAGTCTCTATTAAAATGGATAAGATGGCTGTTGCAAAGGCGAATTTTGGACAGTATGAGCTATAACCACTTATTGTCCTCTATCCTGCAGTATAAAAATGGGACACAGGACCGTGTAGTATTAATGGGGCAGAGCTGTGGCAGCCCCATTATTGGAATGGGCTATAACTTTATGGGTGGTTTGTTTCTCTCTTGGTGCCATCTCGGATCTGGATTGTCTAACAGTGGAGTGTGGACCAAGGTCAGGCTGCCATCTGGTGAGTTCTAATTTTCCTGTCCCAGAAACAGGAGTGCAAACGGTAATAGCTTTGAGAAGGTGGGGAAGGGAAGCAGTGCCCAGGCTTGGAGTAAACTCCAATCCTTTTACCTTCTCTGTTTCCTAAATTTCTTCCCACTCCTTTTCCTATTTTCCTGTTCCATGCTGTCTCTTCCATTCCTTTCCTTCCATGCCTCATTTTTGTTTCCTCTTTCCCTCCTGCCCTCCTTTTTTTGGCTCTTTTGTGTGTTTATGATTGGCCTCTGGTTTTATTTTCTGGCATTTCCAGAGCTACCCGTTCTAGAGGTGGAGTTTAATCTTAGTTAGTAGTGGATAGATATGTGGCAGGACTAGCCAACTGGGTCAGTTTGTTTATGTCACTAGCCGGGGGTGGGAAAGGGAGAGAATACTCAGGTTGCTGAATGTTCCTTATACGTATCTGCTTTCCCACCGTAATCCCTGCTTAAAACCAGTATTGTGTTTAGCTGAAGGTGGGTATTTTTCATGAGGAATCCAAGGGCTCTCTTTCCTGTTTTAAATGTGTTTTTTTTAATACTAAATCTGGTAATAGCCTCCCAAAATGTTTTATTCCAATCTGATTATATATAATGGGAAGTTCTATTCCCTATTTTTTTCTGAACCCTAATTCAGGGATAAGAGAATGACCTGGGTGTCTTCTGATTTGGGCCATAAGCCACATACAGTCCAGGCTGTTACTGCCTTCTGCAAGGATGAGCGTATAAGTAGGACATCTCCCTACATTTAGGCCAAACTGGGAGCCCTCTGGAAAAAGGACCAAGGTTTCCCCCATTACAGTCCACTGAAAAAGGAAGCTACAAGTCCATTTCATAGGTACAGTGTTCTGTTTGAGTGTTGCCAATGGAACTTTGAGTCCTTCACTTGCAAAGGGGCTGGGAGATCTCCTTATAAAACAGGTGGTTGATCTGAAAGGAACTGCTGTGTCTGCTGCATAGCAGAGGCTTTCCCCATCATCACTGCCAAGGCAGGGCCTTGTAATGGAGATTATTAATTGGAATTAAATTGGGTAATGAATTAATATTAAAATAATCTAATTTTGTTGAAGTGACAAGCCGGAGCTAGTAAAATTTGTCACTGTCCACCATGTCTGCGCTGGTGATGAATGTGTGTCTGACTGCAAAGGAGGCCAGAAAGGGAGTGGATGGCATTTAAAAGTTGCACCTGTTGTCCACTGTTAGTCCCCTTGTTTCCTGTTACCTGTTTATATTAGAGGGCCTGCACCTGTAAATTAAAAACAGAATCTGTCTGAGAGAGGATAGTTCGCAGATTTTTCTGTGCTTTAGTTTCTTTTGCCTGCATCCATACCACACTATGCTGTTTTTTCTCAGATCTTGCTGGTTGTGCCAGGTGGGTGCTTCAGGAAGTGATGTTGGGGCCTCAGTAGGTGAAACTTTTCCCT